AAAAATAAAAAGTAACGGAAATTACTGTTATGTTAGCCGGAAGTTACTGTGTCGTTAGTCGGAGTTCGTAAACTGAGTAGACAGACAAGAGTTGGAGAATTAAACTGGTCAAAGAAAATAGTTGGAGTATTTATTTGGACATTCAAAAAGTTGGAGTATTCAAAAGCTCATCGGAATTTAGTTGGGGTATTTTTATGGTATTTTCCCAATTAATATTCGTGGGTTTTTAATATTTTCAAGTAAAATAAAATTTTCCATTTTAAAAATTTTATTTCCTTTCTAAAATTCCGTTAAAAAACCAACCATAACCAACCAACGTCTTGAATTTAATTAGGGTTAAAAAAAGAAAGCATTCATCTTTATGCAAGAGTCATGCATAGCAACTTCTCTAAATTCTAAACCCTAACCTAAGAGTTGTTCTTCCTCCCCCTGAATCGAACATGGCGGGACTAAAGCTTTCAGAGAGTCGTGACTTGACGAGAGTCGAGCGAAAATCGGTGCACACTCTCACATCAGAGGACTCGGGCTAGACTCGACGCTCGAGCCGCGAGCCGTCTCTGAAGGAATGGTAGGTCAAGTAAAGGCGCGTAAAGCCGCGGGAGTAATCCTTGAGATGATTAGGGAACGGAAAATCGCCGGTCGAGCTATCCTAATCGCTGGTCAACCCGGAACTGGTAAGACCGCGATAGCTATGGGAATGGCGAAATCGCTTGGCTTGGAAATACCTTTCGCTATGATTTCAGGAAGCGAGATTTTTTCCTTGGAGATGTCGAAAACAGAGGCTTTGACTCAGTCTATACAAAAAGGAAGTAACTTTGTAATCTCTTCTTTGTTCTTTGGCAGAACACGAGGGGTTCAAGCGGTTTTTAGTGGCGATATAGGAGAAATCCGATCGGAAGTCCGGGGAGATATCGATACAAAAGTAGCGGAATGGAGAGAAGAAGGAAAAGTGGAAATAGTTCCTGGTGTTCTCTTCATTGATGAAGTTCACATGCTTGACATGGAATGCTTCTCATTCCTAAACAGAGCTTTAGAAAACGAAATGTCACCAATCCTCGGTCATGGCAACAAACCGAGGAGTCACATGAATCCGTGGCACAGACCAGATATCACCACACGGGATCCCGATAGACCTCCTTGACCGTCTTCTCATCATCACAACGCAACCTTACACAGACGAAGACATAAAGAAAATCTTAGAGATCCGTTGCCAATAAGAAGAAGTTGAGATGAAGGAGGACGCAAAACAGCATCTGACTTTGATTGGACGCGATACTTCTCTAAGGTATGCGATTCATCTTATAACCGCGGCTGCATTGTCTTGCGAGAAACGGAGAGGGAAAGCCGTGGAGGTTAAGGATATTCAGAGAGTTTATCGATTATTCTTAGATGCGAGGAGATCGATGCAGTATCTTGTTGAGTATCAGAGTCGGTATATGTTCAGCGAACCAATCAAAACCCATGTGGAAGAACAAGAAGATGCTATGCAAATCTAATGATCGATATTTGTTTGCCTTTTTTTTTTTTTTTTACAGCTTGACTTTCATTAATTTCGAACATCTAACAACAAGTTTCACATCCAATAAAAGGAGGTAACGAAACAATACATAATTAGCAGCTAAATTATAAGATTTTTTTTTGCCAACAAATCAGCAATAGAATTTTTGTTTCCTACTTATTATGTTTTGTGATAACTCTATTTATGTTTGGGTTTTTAAAGGTTGTGACGAATGTTTGACTAGATGATCAACTATGGATCGGTTTAGCAAGGATAAGATTTGTGTTCTGATTTGTTTCTAATCAAATATTGAAGATCAAAAAAAAAATTATAGAAATCTTATAGAATAGACATTAGGTGAAAATCTTAGGTGTCATCCAACGAGGATTTTAAAAAACTTTTAATAAAAGCTATTAAAACTTCTTAATGTGTAAATAATTAGACTAAATTTATATCATATATAAGTGAGAAATTTCAAAAAATACCATTTTTCAAGTGTCACTTTACAAAAATGCCACTTTTTCAAAA